CGTAAGATTTGTTAAATAAAAGGGAACTCTTTAGCTACAATGTATCAATGTTATGTTATAAAACAAATGGTAAACACCACAGCGTACACTATTGAGTTATGGATGCACGCGGGAGGTTGCTAAGCACGAAAGAAGCGTAAGAGTCGCTCGAGGCGATAGCCGAGAGCGACTCTAGCTTCTTGAGTGCTTAGCAAACCTCCCGCGTGCATCCATAACTCAATAGTGTACGCTGTGGTGTTTACCATTTGTTTTATAACATAACATTGATACATTGTAGCTAAAGAGTTCCCTTTTATTTAACAAATCTTACGTGACCAGAAAAAACAAGCGCGCGCGGAAAAATAGTCTTTGCATTTGCTCACGTCAGCAGCGTACACCCATGGGAAAATGGGGGACGCTAAATTGACCAATCAGAGCGCGCGCTTTACTTTGGTTATGTTATAAAAATCAATGTGTGAATACGAATACTCAGTTAAGTCGTGAATCTGCTTAGTCTGTCAAACTATCACTGCGGCATGCATGACTGTGACGCGGCGAGAATCGATAAGCCCTTAAAAAGTGTCACATTATTAGCTCCGTCTGATGGTTTACGTGCCCCTGTTTTGCCATATCTTCAAGAATCGTGCTACAAAGATACAAATTTATTAAAAAATTTTGCAACGAAGAAAAATTTAAAAATACTTTTATCTTTGGTTTTTTTTTAACGTTGTGAGTTTATTCTTTTTTTCGTTTTCTCATTTTTCATTTGTATATTTGCTTTTGAATTTTATATTTCGATTAACGCCTATCATGATATCAGAAAAACAAATGCTTTTGAAGAATGAAGTAAAATGAAATCACCATCATTCTAAGCCGGACTAAGTAGAAAAAAAATAAATGGTTATAGAATTTGTATGAGCCTGCGATGCAAGAGATGCTTACTCACAACATGTCATCTTTCAATTCGATTACACGACGTTGAGTGAATTTCACACAATATGGCGTCTAAGGTGGACGAAGATTCTAAAGAAGGAAGAAAATCTGTTGAGAAACAGTCGGATGAGAATGGAGAGAAGTATAAACAGTGCGCGGCGAAAAAAGTAAGCAAAGATGAACATTTAAAAAACAGGTCTCAATTATCTGCGAACGCTCAAATAGTTGAAGAATTGTTGGACAATGTTTCTGGAGAAGATTCTGAAAGTGAAACATTTCAAGATGCAGTTGAGGATTTAGATGAAAAAAGCGACTCTTTTAAAGCGAAGTCGAGTGAAGTTACGAATGAAGAGGAGAAAGAGGAGGAAAACGAGGTAGTGGAGGAAGAAGAAAGGTTAACGCCTGAAGAAAAGGAGGTAAGAATTTTAGAATTTTTGAGGTTCGATTTCATACGGCACTAATGCTTTGTATGGCAAGTGAAAACTGGTGACATATTTGATATAAAAAGGGTCAAAATTTAAAGAGAATTGCAAATCAGACAAGTTTGGTATCAGTTTCACCTGAAGTCAATTTTGATGACATATGTCAATCAAGTGGAGTTACCGGTAATCTACATTGTTGTTGAATTTGTAGATTTTGTCTCGGATTTAGATAAGTGGAGCTCTCTACAGAACTTCAGCCTAGATTTTTTTAATTTAGTGATTATGAACACAATCATTTGTCACTCTTTCTTTTACTTTGTTTTTCTTTTACTAAGGAAAGAAAAATACAGGCACAGGAATTTAAAGAAAAAGGCAATAATTATTTTAAAAGATCTGGTGAGTGACCACAATGTACAATGTACTTGTTAGCTAATCAGCACTTGAAATTTTCTCCCAGAACTGGTAGGTAGTAGCACAATGTTTCCTCAAGACAATTTGGTTTAGGGTCAAGACCTACCTGTACAGTATACGCTGTGAAAAAAACCTTGTTGTCATCTTTAAATTAGTGAAAGATTCTGAACAGAACTGACTATGATCGCATTGTACTTGTATTTTTATCTCAACCTTAGGTAATATTGATGTGATGTACAAAATATTAACCAAGATCATTGATGTGGAAGTTATTGACAAGTAAATCTACTTGCAATGACTTCTTGCCATGCAGCTATTTAAAGATCAGGAATGTTTTGTTCTATTTGAACATGATGAAGTACAATACTATTAATACATTTCTGAGCTAACGAGGATAACAGCCAGATATTTTTCACAAGTATATGTGTATGTTTAATAGCTTGCAAATGATTTGAAATGGGGTATATTCGGCTGCCACATGATACTCTGAGATGAGAAAATAACCTTCTTGATGGTCAGTAGTAAATTAAGAGATCTTAAGGTATTTTTGCATTTCTGTTTTTATTTCAATGTGTATCATGCCAAACGGGTAAAAATGTTGAGCCATTGCTCTCTTTAAGGGCAAAGTTATTTTCTATATACTATTGTACTTAATGAGTGGTTAGATTTTAAAACTTTCCTACAGCAAAGACAGCGATGCCATCAATTTTTCTGCCAGACTTCAAGAATAAAAAAGAAGTCACTGACAGTGATGTTGTAATGTACAGCTCCATAGAGACTCTATGGTGACCCAGGCCCTCTACGAAGTTCACATGCAACATGTGTCCTGCATGTGGCAATGTTGGCAATGTCAATAGTGTTGTGTTTTGTTAATGGAATGAGAAAGATGGTAAGTTTTGAAACTTACCACCTTACTTTTTCTATTTATACTCTGAAAGATCGTCATGTTTTAATTTACAAATATTTAATTTGAATTTATGTTGAAGGCCATTGATCTTTTATTTCTTTTACTTTTTATTTAGAATATCCTGAAGCTAGAGAACTGTACACCAGTGCAATAAAGATATGTCCAAATGATTTTACCAAGGAAAAATCTATATTTTATGCAAACAGAGCAGCCTGCCTGGTTAAAATGGTATGTTTGCTCTTTTATCACATTTAATGATTGGTTATCAGCCGTATGATTTAGGGAAAGGTTGCAGAGTGAAAAAGGCTTCTGATGATTACTGGGTAATGAACACAAACAGTTTTTTTTGTTTGCTTTCTGTGCAGTTACACTGTCTTTGACAGTTAGTATGTGCACTGTACCCAATGTTGTGTATTTCCTCAAGTAATCAATTATGCACATATATATTTTATGTGGATAATAATCTTACTATTAACTTGGGTTAGCCTCACCTATCTTGTGACTAATTCAAAGATATGTATTTTATTTATAGGAGCAACACAAGGAAGCAATAGATGACTGCACAAAAGGTAGAGATTATTGATTTTGCATTAATTTTATAAATTTTTTTCCTCAAGTGTAATATGATAATATCATGGAAATGTTTATGTGGGTTAAATTTTGTAACTTATAATATTGTGCAAAAGTATTACAAGTGAAATGCACTATTTTATGATTGCCCAGTATAGTATACAACCAAAATAAAAATTAATGATACTGTCTTTATACTATGAACTTGCACTGTAATACTTTGCAGCTGTTCTTTTACTTATATGGACATGATGCTCAATTCCAGTTTCCTTCATTTATCTTGTGGCTTTGTTTTCTCTGTACAGCCTTAGACCTAGACTCAGATTACCTCAAAGTGAGACTTAGGAGAGCTCAGTGCTTTGAACACGAGGACAGATTAGAAGAGGCCTTGGAAGGTAAAATTAATTTAAGTAAAATGTATCATATTTAATTTATGTCTAGTAGATGGCAGTATATTCAATTTAATTTGTATTTTTTTTTTCAATGGAAAATGACAACTTATGAATATATTTTGTTTCATCATGACCAATTTACCCAAAGGTTTCCTTGCTTTAACCCCTTTCTCTAAGACTATCTGAAAATTAATTATCCTAGGTAACAGGCATACAATGCACATCTTTTTGTGGCTATTCACTCAACAGAAAAATGCTTTTTCTGTGACAGTATTCTTTAGATAGCATTGTATAGTGTGGTCCTTCTTATAATTGAAAAAGGCATTAATGATGCATTTGCCTGTTTCCATTTGTAATCTCAGAATAGTCCTGTTGAGGAGAAAACTTTTGATTCTTAATGAACCGCCCCTTAATGAACCGCCCCCTTAATGAACCGCCCCCTTAATGAACCGCCCCCTTAATGAACCGCCCCCTTAATGAACCGCCCCCTTAATGAACTGCCAGCTTAATGAACCTCCCCCTTAATGAACCGCCCCCTCAACGAATTGCCCCCCGGTTAGCTCAATTGGTTAGAGCGCTGGATTGTGTTGTGCGGGAGGTCAAGGGTTTGAGCCCCAGCCGGACCAATACTCATGGTCTTAAAATAACTGAGGAGTATTTGCTACCTTTCTATAATATCAAGAAATGGATAGATATTCTAGTCTTCTCGGATAAGGATGAATAAACCGTAAGCCCCATCTCCTGCAGGGTTAGGGGTAGGAGACGTTAATTTCCCACGCACAAGATTACTGTGTGGTGGATGTCCTCCCCTGGGGTGGGATGGGTGGGTGTTACAGGGCCCCATTTAAACCAGCTATGCTGAACTGGGCTACCCTGTCTAAATATTCATAAATACAAATTCAAATACAAATACAAATGAGTGGTAAAAGTTAACCCTTTCACCCCTAAGGGCAACTAGCATTTAATTTCTCTTTACAATATCACCCCTAAATCAAACATTAAGGTCATGAGAATACAGGAAATGATCAACAACTAAAGAAGCTCTTGATTGTCAAACAAATTCTTGATCTCAGTACCGTAGCGAAAATATGGAGAACAGTTTGGAGAATTATATGCATAGTGATGTTAGGGTGTAAAAGGTTGATGATTTTTTATTTACTTTGTCCCAAGATTACCAGAAAGTGTTTGATATGGATCGTTCATCTCACGTGGCGAGAGAAGCACTGATGGTAAATGATTTTGAATTGTTTACTGACTTGTCGCCAACTCAGACCCATTTAAATGGCTATCGTGTCATTGTGAGAAAGCTCCTCAATTTACCATGATTTCCTTCTTACATGTGCATTGTCTACATTCATTGTCAAACCAACAATGAGTTATGTAAGGATCCTCTTATAATTTAACTATCAGGCATGTCTCTGTAACCTGAAGTTTGTTCCTTTTCCTGAATCTGTGAACTCATGATGAGTCTTGTGAACTACTGAAACACAATTTATCTGTCCTAATATGCTATTTATATTACCCATATACTTCAGAGGATAACAGACTTTTATGAAAGGTCTGTTAATTTGATCTAGATGAGATGTTTACCTTTTTTTTTTTCCTTTGCTATCTGAAGAGACTTCCTGAACAAATCAGGGTCAAGCATGAAAAAATGAAAGAGGAAATGATGGGTATGTGTTGAAAAAATGTTCCATGCTTTTCATTAGGTACTTGCACTGGCAAAATACATTGCATTGTGTGCATTATATAGCCTTTGCATGAACAATAGACACAGTGTAAATGTGTTAACACCACTACAACCTTGCCAAAGTTATCAAATAGTTTCCTAATTACAGTTTTGAGAAATTCCAAAGATTTGAAGTTGTGCATGCTGTGACACATACATACACAGCACCTGCATGCATGTCAAGGGCGTGTTATTTGTGGAAATGTAGTCATGTGCATGCAGGAGAAAATTACATGCAAGCAATGGTTCACATGCAAATGCATAATTATACTGTATTTATTTCATTAAGAGCCCAACCTCAGATAAGACCCCACCTCAAAAAGGTGCCCACACTATAGGTAGGAAGCACACATTAAGTCAGCAGGTTACCTGCACTGGCAAATTATACACACCCCCATCTTGAAAACAAAAGAAAACCATGAAAAAGAGGGCTGTTCAGGTTTAGAGGTGGTTGTGTGTTTGGATTTAACCACATGACATGAACACTGCAAACTCATGCATTTGTCGTGTACCATATTCATTTCTCACCCGCAGGTAACATTGTTTTTTTTTTGTCTAGGGAAACTTAAAGATTTGGGAAATGTTTTTCTACGGCCTTTTGGCCTGTCTACAGACAATTTCAAGGTTCAACAAGATCCGAAATCTGGAGGCTACTCAGTTAATTTCCAAAAATGATTTAGGAGGCTGGAATAAAGTTAAAGTAGATCTGTCTGTCTGTATAAGAGATAATTCAAGCATGTCTACAAAGTAACACAAATGCAAAAGTAGAGCACAACCAATTAAGTGGTTCTGTACTTATTCAGATGGAGGAGAGTGGACAAGGCTACACCATGAATTAAACTGTGGACAGACCTTTCCACAAATTATTATGCGACACATCAAAGAATAAGCATGTTATCAATGAGTCAGATGTTAAGGGAAAATAGCTAAAAAGCAGTAAAGAAAGGACTTGTGTTACAGCAGGTCAGCTACAAGATTACTTTACAAAACAGCCACAAAAAGATATTAAGTTCATTATGCTTTTGGGACATACTGTGATAGTATAATATGGCACTGAAATATGGTACTATATTGAGGCACTACAGTGCAGCACTCAGTTTTTTTTTTTATGATAATGTTTTTCAAAAGCAATTCCTGGGTGGGATTTAACTGGTACAGTCATTTTTTGCTTTGTTACTAAACATAGAACTCTTGCCTCTCATTTTTTTTTTTTTCAAACATGAAATCACAGTTTGCTTCCTAAACAAATTCATAAATGTGTTTCTCTGATGGAAAAATTTGGTGTATTACTTTTGCAGTTACAGTCATGTTTCTACAAGCTTTAACCCATGCTTTCCTTGTTATGTAACTCTCTCCTTCTTGTTGTTCTGCTTACTTTCCTCCCTTCCCTTCTAATCTTTACTACATCTCTCTACTTTTTTTCTATCAAGCCTGCCTCATACCCTCACTTTTCTTCCTGCCCCTCCCATCTTCACTGCCTCTCTCTTCTCCTTTTCAGTCTCTGCTTACTTTTCTCCCTGCCTTTCCCACTCCTGCCTCCCTTCCCCAGAAAAAAGAAATTTCTGCTTCCCTCTTGAGTCTCCTTTTAACCTCTCCCCTCACTTTTTGCACTGCCTTCTACTTACTTTTCCCTCTGTCTCCCTCTTTATGTTTCTCCCCGAGTTCCTTACCCCTTCCCTTTATTTCCTCTTTGTATGCCTAATTACGAATGGAAAGTTAGTGGACTGGTGCATTTCGCTGCGGAGTCTTACCTCGCGTGTGCAAAACAGCACACGCGCGTCCGTTTAGTTGTTATTGCCAAGAAACATCACGTGATAACTTGCGTGATTCGAAGGAACTGATCAACAGAGAGCTGTGAATTTCTTCCAAAATCTCAAAAGATCACATCACGCGATGAAATAGTCAGAAGGTCGCAAAAATTAATCGTAGGGTCTGCACTCAAGGGGATGGAAGTTATTTCTCGCGTTTTACTTCAGCTGACTACAACTGAAGCTTCTTCGACAACTGTCCACGCACAAGAACAAATTGCAGAAGAGCCTCCCAATCAGATCTTGTTCACTGCAGTAGCTTCGCTTTCTATTCTGGGATCTTTCATTATTGTAAGCACATTTTTGCTGTGGCCCGATTTGAGGACGAACGCTCGTCTTATGATCGTATTCATATCGGTCTGTGATTTCCTGGTGGCCAGCTTCAACATACTAGGCATCAATATTGAAAAGAAGTTAGACAATGAAATTTGTAAACTCCAAGCGACGGTCAACATCGCTGCTATTTTGTCGTCTTTCTTTTGGACCTTGTATTTATCCCTTTATTTCTATTTGACTATTTGCAAAAAGATTACCGTGAGGACGGAGAGAGTCACTATGTGGTTGTTTCATGTTACGGCATGGGGGATTCCTTTGGTGATAGCGCTGGTAGGCTATGAGTTAAATGCAGTAGGAAATCCACATGACATGGTATCTTCGGGATGGTGTTGGATCAAATACAGTCCTACAAAACGAAATGAGACGATAATTTGGATGTTAATCGCTGGAAAGGGATGGGAAATCTTGGCATACATTGCTATTTCCGTGTTCTACGTTCTAGTTAAGGTGAAAATTAGACGAGAGGTAGGTGCTAACCGTTTGACGTAAACTTCCTATGTTGCAACAATGATGTGGCATTACCGGTCAACTTTAGTGTTCACCTTGCTTCCCCTTGGCTCTCTCATCTTAGAATATTCTTCCATCCTTGTCAATTTGAGATTTTAAAAGTAATGATTCTACCCTATCCCACTCTGCTGCCCCATTCCATGTACACCTCTCTCATACATCAAGAAAGTACCCACATGTAAGTTGCACATCCGTCAAATTGTCGTTGATAGGACCTGCATAATTAACAGTGTAAACAGGGTATGGAATTGTGACAAAGTGCTTATACCGAGAAGAGGGCTGGACAGTCAGTTTTAGAAAATGCAGACATTTTATCTTGTGTTAATTCTGTTTTCTCTCTTTATAGCTGAAGTGTGGATTTGTTCCAGGAAGCCATTTTCTGACTCTGAAATCAGTTGAAGCAGCAAAAAAGGCAGATCTCAAATTAACATTAATTCCTGTGGTGTTCATTTTCTTACGCATCTGGGGAACCATTAGGTTTATCCGTTTCTGGGCTTATTTCCCTGAGCCGGTGGCACATGATTGGCTCATTATACTCCAAGTAAGTTCATTACTTGATGAAATCTTTAAGTCTCCTTTGTTGTTGTATTGAAATTGAAAATTTTCTCTCCAGATATATTTTATTTTTCAGATTATAACTAAAGAATTTCAGTCCAAATTTTTTATTATTTGACTTTTTTTTGCCTATTTTCTTAGGCAATAGAAATCTAGAAATCTGAGGTTTAGAGAGTTCAGATTATGAGGTACATCCTCCTTCTGGTTAAAACCCTCAGTTGTGGGGGTGCATGGATGTGCTGATGCCTTATGTGACCTCTGATGGACTGCAAGATTCTCCTACCAGATTTTCTTGTCTCTTCTTGTGGAACATATGGAGAGTTTGATATTGTATCAAACATTTCCTTTGGATGTGATCCCATCAGTCGACCCCTTTACATATAAATGATTAATCCAGTACATAGTAGTTTGGAAGTCAGTAAAATGGGAGTTACATTAGTTTTAATTTTTTAATATAACTAATATATAACTAATGTAACAGCCAGTCAAACATAAAAACATTTTTCGGCAGGTTTGTGTGAATTTGAACTAAAGCATTCAGAGGTATTTGATTTTTTTCTAATTTGAACATTCCTGTTTATTTTCAGGGAATTGGTGATAACAGCCAGGGTTTTGCTGATTTTGTTCTGTTCTGTTTATTCACTAACAACATTAGGAACAAGTTCAAACAGTTTATACCAATTTGTAGACATTATCCAGAAAAAGATCCCTTGCTGAGGAATACAAACTTGTGTTATGGAGCAGTTGATTAATTCTTTTTATTTGAAATGATATTTTTAAACACTTTGGAGTCCTGGTTTAAACTATTGTAGACAGGTAGGAGATAAATAACCAATATAGTTGGATGAAAAAAGTCCCAATCTGATATCTGAATGGGAACTGCTGAATTCTCACTTCAAATTGTAAGTGTGTTCCCTTATGAAACAAAGGGAGAGGTTGAGCTTGAATCAAAAGACACTCAGGTCTCTGTTCCTTGGACCCCTTTAAAAGATAACGAAGAGGATCAACAGATGGTGAAAAAACCTGATCAAAACCATTAATGCTTGATGGTTGACGAGAAGGTTGTGAAAAGCTTCTATCAATTGAAAAAAATCTGAATCAGTAGACATGCATTGCTGGAGATCACACAATTTAAATATTTCCTGAATGTAGAGGGTCCCCTATACTTTTTACATGAATTAAGCGTGATTGCATGAGCAATTTTTTTCTCGTGAATCATGATTGCCTTTTTTTTTTATTCATGAATTGTGATTGAACCTGAACAGATTCCTTTATTTAAACATGTCCCGTGAATTAAGAGCTGAATTAAATGTGAACCCTTTTGGTTTTGCGTGATGAATTGTCAGCTATTTTATGATTTTGGAAATGTATATAATTTATTGTTCTTGATAACAACAACAACAACATCCACAACGTCTTTATTTATACTCACAGTTTAACTTATAAATGAAGACTACCTGCAAAATAGCGAAACTAATTGAGGAGGGTAGTATGAGAAATGTGTCAATTACATATTAATATAATTTTTATTCTAATGACAAAAAATAAATAACTAATTACAAAGGTACAGATGTCAATTACAAAAGTGAATAAAAAAGATAGATATACTAATTACGAAGCCACAAGCACATAATTAAAAACAGGAAAAGATCAAAATACTCTTTATTTTAATGAAAGCTAGTTTCTTGTCATTTCGTTTATAATGTATCAATATCAGGATAAGAATCCTGGTTTAGAAGGATTTGAAATAAGGATTTGGTTATTTTTTTCTTGAAACTATATTTTGGGAGCTGTCTCAAAACATCAGGAAGACAGTTCCAAATTTTTGTGCCCATAAAGGAAAAAGAGTTCTTGTGGTGATTTAGTCGAGAGTAGTTTATATAGAAGTTACCAGCATTGAGTAGAAGATCGTGTGTTATAATGATCATCTTTAATGGGTCTACAAGTGGATTAAAGGTAAAGGCAGAATATTGGTAGAGATAAAAAGTGGAACAGCGTGAACGTTAAACTTAGAAAAATTCATCAAGCGGACTACCTGTTTTTGAAGAAGGGGTATCTTGTTAAGGTGCATTTTGGCTGCCTGTCCCCAGGAAGTAAGGCCATAGGAGATATATGGAAAAATAAGAGATCTATATAATTAATTTATACTAAGAAAAATCACAAAGGTAGTGAAATGCCTTAATCTAGATATTATACCTTTATGACTACTGATCTTGGAGGCGATGTGGCTGATATGATATTTCCAACTAAGATTACTACCATTAATACCCCTAAGTACTTAATATATGATTTACGTTTTATACTTATCAGTCTATTACTTTGGTTGTCATTTATATTAAGTTTATAACTTCATAATCTTGAATGGCTGTGGTTAGGTTTTGACAGGAGATGGACTTGATATGGATTGATGAAAGTCATAAAACAGACCACTTAAATAAAACAATTGATAAGACTAATTTCAAGACTAGTAAAAGTAAAAATATTAATTCAACGTGATTTTCTTGAATTTTGTGTGAATGTGAAAGAGTTTTGGATTTTATTCATGATGCATGAAAAGGTCAAATATTTTCATGTGACTGAGTTTTGTGCAAAGGACCGTATAGGGACCCTCAATGTAGGTAACTTTTTCTTTAACATTTCCACATATATCTGACAATTTTGAATGCACAATAAGTGTACAATATTAAAATAGCACAGTGATCGAACAAAAATTGAAAAAATAGATGAAAAAACAGATAATGCATGTAAAGGAAGGAACTAAAATGCAAGCACATGGAGATAGAAGTAATTGGAATGGGAAAGAAACTATTCTCCTGCACTGATTCCAATGTAGCTGAAGCTACAAAGCGGTTAATAAAGTGATAATAAAACAAGTTTTCCTTGTATCTCTACTGTTTAGGAAAGTGAAGGAGAAGGTGCAGGTTGCTGTATTTGAGATGGGTGCTTGTATGGCATTATGGCTAAGGGTGTGGGCAATTATTTGGAGGAAGGGGATTAGAGTGTGGAGCTTATTTGAGGAAATATGGTATCTATAAATAAACAAAACAAACCAAAATGATGCTAGCCCTAAACTGGAAATTACTTGTACACCCTGAGAGGTGGGTGCTTATTTGGGGAAGGGTGCTTTATAGAGGGTGGGCATTTAATTATCCAAGGGAATACAGTTTATGAATAAACAAATCAAATCAAATCTGAATTGACGCCAGCCCTAACCAGTGGAATTACCAGTACTCATTCCATCATCCTATGCTGATGCATTTTTTATCATATTAACCTAATTGCATGGTTTCATAACAATTTTGATGCTTAAGAGCTCTTGCCACCCAAATTTTCAAAACATTTTGCTGTGTAGCCTCAAAGGACACGTTCCATCATGCTAGCATGAAGGCCCTTGTAATCAAACTCCTTAGTGTAATAGCTTTTTACAAAATGCTCAATTGGGCTCTCTAAGGGTTATATGAAGTCAAGAGATCACAAAGGGACAGAGAAAGAGGCTTCTGGTCCAGGCCTTGCGATAGGTCAATTTCAGTCTGGTTAAATCTAGCCACACTGAACCTTCACTGAGCTGAATATTGTTGAATAGTCCCGTCCAAGACCAGAGTTAATACTCTGCCAAGACAAAGTAAAGGGGATTATTTAACAATATTCACTGAGCCTGATGCAAATAATTGTTTTAGTATAATAGCTTCGGTGCTTTTGAATTTTGTCATAGATATTTGTTTTGATGTTGAAATCATTCAGTTTTAGTCGATTTGATTGCTTGTATTGAGATAAATAGCCAGTTTCCACTAAAATTTAACAGGTTCATTTGACTCAGTCAGCAAAAACGTCATATCTTTCTTTTTAAAGGTGTTGCTCCAAACTTGATAGCATCTCTTGTGCTCTTCGAAATTGAATTTTTTCATTAGTTCATTAGTTCCTCTAACACTGACAAAAGGCGAGATAGCTATTTTGGAATTTAGCGCTTCTGCTAATCACCACGCGCGAAGTGACTATTGCGAGATATGACGCCATCCTTGACCAATCAGTGCGCGCGCATCACCGGAGCAATTATACCAAACATGGTTGTAACAAAATACTTCCATATGTTGTGAGACGAGAATCACGTTTCCGTAAATCAGAAACGAATGTTATTATGTAATTATTTCCTTGCAGATGTCACGCATCGCCCTTCGTATCGCAAATGACCTTTTGCTCACGGAAAGTGACTAAAAATGAATTTCGGTAGGCCTTGGTCGCCTGTGAGGAAGATTGATGATTTGGAGAGCAGCGATGGGCTTTGTTCCATTGATTTCAAACTAACTTCGGCAACAAGAAACTATACAAGACCCATACAAACCACAAAGCTTCTTCCCCGCTCTCAGCTAAAAGAATAACCTAACTGAAATCGATGTATCCTGGCCGACGCCCTGATTTACCCTCGCTGACTCCTGGTGATTTTTTGGTGATGTTTACGGTGTGAAAATATTTCACGACCCATGTTTTTATGAAATTCCTTCACACAGGTAGACGTAGCACCACTGTTTAGAAGGGATTCGTCGAACTACGAGGTTAAAAAGTTGGGTTTACAAGATACATGTAAGGAAAACGTGACTTCCGTAAACCTTACACCTGTGATACGTGATATGATTTGGAATTAAAATCACGTGAACTTCTATCTGGGTTACAGGGAAGCGGGTGCAATATGATGGACGTCATTTTAATGCAAGCGCTAACTTTTCTCTGACTTCTCTGACCGGGGCAAACACAGGTTGCAGAGATATCCACTACAGCAGCTTCACTGTTCATCTTAGGATCTTTGATCATAATAACAATAATAATAATAATAATAATAATAATAATAATATATATATATATATATCGATTTCTATAGCGCATTTCCATGGAATGCTCTGAATGCGCTTTACAACACTGTGCGGGGGACTTTTCCAGACTGCCTGTACATTTAGGTTGTGGCCTGACTTGGGAACGAATGCTCGTCGAGTGATCACGGTGATGTTCTTGTGGCAGTCTCAGATATTGTGGGCGAATGGGGAGCCAGTCGAAATCCAGGAGATCTCTTGTGTCGAGTCCAAGTCGCATTTGGTGTCATCGCAATTTTGCTGTTGTTTTTGTGGACAGTCTACTAGTCTGTGTATTTCTACTTGACTACTTACGAGAGGATTACTGAGGAGTCTCATGAACGGTTAATGTGGGTGTTTCAAGCAACACCGGGCTTCGGGAACACCTTGTATCATTGCGCATGCTTTTTACGGGTTTCTCCTGAAAGGAGTTGGGTGTTCAGGAATCCTTGACAAAATTAAAGTTTTGATGCAGTTTGTTCGTAGTCCTCACCTATTTTGTTTTTCATTTCTTCATTGCTTCAGTCTTGGAATAGATGAAAGTACAATTCTTTGTAACTGAAACAGACTTTTACACGGATGTCTTTTCATAGTTTCAGGGTGTTTCATAGTAAACTCTGGGATAGCGGATTAAACGCGACTTGATGTGCTATACGTACAAAGATTTTGGATGCAGTTTACGAAGTTGATCTCCTGATAGTATTCTCTTTAAAGCCTTTTTTTTTTTCCTTTCTCGCACTGCTGGAAGCGACTGATCGAGTTCTTCCTAGCTTTGTTGGTAGAATATCCTATACCACGTGACTGGATCTATGTGGACTTCCAATCTACTCAAGTAATCTAATTTTTTCTTTCTCCTTCGCCGGTAAGAAATTTCTTCAGACAACTGGTGGAACAAAATTAACACTCCCTCTTACCGTCTCCGCCCAAGATTCTCTCTTCGGCTTATTGCTCTTCAACCGACATATGGTTAAACAAAAGGTAATACCGTGACGTCCTATTAGTTCCAGTCATTGCTAGAATTTTGACGTTAGACAATTGCAAGGAGTAAAAAAATACTACAAGTTTGATGGGTGTGGGGAGGGGGGGGGGTCAGGACTCCTTTGACCCTCCCTCTGCATCCGCCACTAATGAGACACTAAGTTTTTCAGTTCAGCGCAGGTGACCAATGTACAACACCTTTTTTTAATAATGCCTGTCAAAATGATATTCTGTACGGTTATTTTAAGGACCGACGGGTGAAAAACACCGACAACACCCATATCTGTCAAGCTTCTGAGGGCGTGGCACAGATTCACTTTAACCTCTGCAAAGCTGAAGGTTTGTTGGGTACGACGGAACTGCGAAGACCATTAGTGGTTTCACCAATTTTCGATTGCAGTGTTTCAGGGCACCTCTACGAGTGGTTTATTCTAAAGAAGCCAGAGGCTTATACAGGGCTATTACCCAATGTTCTAAGTCATCTGCCCGACCAGTGAAGCTTCATAATCTACAAGTTTAAGCCATTATTTTTATTGCATTTTCGTTCTTTGCTTTCAAGAGGAAGGAGAAGAAGACAAAAGAAAACTTTTCTACCTGCGACTTGACTGTCACCACACAAGTGTTCCGATTGATGTTGCGGTCACGTTTCCTTTATGCGCAAATAATTAATGCATAGTAGCTCATTAACTACAACAAAAACTTGTCAATTTGAAGTCGAACTGTGAGTAAGTTGATTCGACCCACGTTTCTGAGTACCTAGGAATAACAAGACGAACGCAGTTCTCTTTTCACCCCACCCCTTATCAACCAGAGAAGAAATCCACCTTCGTGGAAGAACCAGGGTTAGTCGATTTTGTATTGTCCAATTCTTGTGATCGATTTGCCTTATTCATTAGAGTACCACAAACGTAACCCAGTGCGATAGTTTCGTGGTATGGGCCATGAGGAATTGGTTTCTACAAGATCATGTAGATCACCTTATTACGCGGCGTGTTTGGCTTGCTAAGGTTCTCAGCTCCAGAAACCGAAGAATTCACATCGTCCTACAAAGCCAAATTCATCCCGCTGTTGTTTGCACATTTTGTCAAGCTAATTGATTACCATCCGGCGTTGCCATTGAGTTTATCTCTTCAACTTTAGGCTAAGCTGAGCAGACCATTTTCTCAGATACAAGACACATAGTGATATAAATTGAATTGAGTCCACTAAAAAACTGGTGGTATTAGAATAAAAAGTAACTTTATTGCTTAACTCGCGAAAATTTGTCCGGGCACCCGCTTTAGACAATCAATAGTATTAAATTTGCGATATTTTATTAAGTTGTATAACGATCACGAACACCCATTATTTGAAAAACAGAGCTGTATGGAAAGCTGGGCGTTAAAATGGTAAAAGGTGCGATCTTAGTAATGAGAGAAAGATACAGCAATTCAAAAGAAAATCATTTGACTAATTGTCTCTGAATGGAACCATTAACTTAATTTGCGCAATTGTTTTACTTTAAATCGCGTCTCTTCAGTTTTAAGAAGTCGTTTCGCTCTTCAGTTTCAATCTTTACTTGTAAGTGAAACTGCACCCGTGTGGATTCCAGAGTAAAAAGGTTTCTGTTGTAATGAAGCAGACAAGAGCTTTCCTTTAGGTGGCTTGGAAACGTTTATTCGTCTAAGAACGTTTAAGATAGGTAACGGTAGCGACAGAGGAATGTAACGATCTGTTTGTGATTACACATTGTTGAGCTAAATTATTTTCAATTACAGATTTTTCTTGCACTTTTCAAGACATGTCAAACGAACCTCAAACGCCGAAAGTGACTGTCACTGATGAAAGTGAAGATGTCACCGAAAAAGATCGTTCTCCCGCAGAAAACGCGTTTTATGAGTCGTTTCTTATTCAGTCGCGGTCAGCGATCGAGAATTTGTACGCTTCGAACATATACCATAGTCAGCGGCACGCTAAGGAAGTCAAAGATCTCGAGAGACAGAAGTACTACAGTATGTCTGAAATGAGTAACAAGCAGAAGGAAATGGTTAAAAAGATGGCTCAGCTTCAGGAGAAACAAGAGAAGATCCAGATAGAGAAAAGAAAACAGAACATGAAACATTTATCAACAAACGGTGAACATCGTATGAGGCCGCATTCGACATCATCGTTATCCGATCGTAAGTCGGATCGGAGGGCGATGCTCAAACACCGACCACGATCGGGATCAATGCCGTTTCTCGAGCCCCTTGATCCGAGTCTTGTCAACCGAAGTTTGTCGAAGTCCACCGAGAATTTGTGCTCAGAATCATCATTA